TTATTCCAAGCAGAACTGATCTCTCTGGACAGCATCCAGAGCATTAACTGATGCAGCAGATGAAGTTGCTTCCATAGACAGACCACAGGTTTGTGTTCTAGTAATGATCCATTGCAGGAGCTATGCTTAGTAGTACATTTTAAATGTTTCGATGATGTATTGGTCAAGAGGTTGGATTTCTGCCTCATGTTTGGAGGCAGAAATTTCAATGTCACATTTATGAGAATATTCACTTGCAGGTGGCCAGGACCGTTATCTACTGTCAATAGAATAGATTGTTTATTCTTAATTCTTCTGTCAATATCCCTTACTTACTCCTCAGATAGGGTACCAGTCATCCGTGTGCATTTGTTTGATCTCCAAGTTAGGAGGAGATCTTTAGGCTTCAGGTGCTTAAATGCATATGGCTTTGCCAATTTACCAATCACCAAGGGCTTTGTGTCTCCAGTTGAGCTAGCACAAAGCAGAACTATGAAATGTTCTTTGGAAAGTTTTCTGCACTTATTTTGACACTATTCATGATGAGGCTCCTGTCAGGCATCACCTTCAAAAAGAGTCTGTACTCATTCATGTTAAATATGTCATCATCTTTGAAGCCCCTGGCGAAGTTTGGGAACTTTCTTTTTTTTTTTTTTTATTGAATGGTAACTATGTACATTAATGCATAGTTGGATTATGGAACTTTCTGATGAACTCTTCCACAACTTCTATTGGAACTCCATTAGATTCACCACATAAGAGTTTCTGGGAGAGCTCATGTCACAGTTTAAATTTCTCCAACCAACCACTTGAAGCTTAGAAATCTGCCACCCCAAATTTCTGTGCAAATTTTTTAGCATGTTCTTAAATCATTGCCCTAGAGATTAGGGCATTAACTGCCTCATTTGTTTGAACCAGATTAATGTGGCCTTATTGACTTCATTGAGAGAAATTTTCCTCCTTTTCTGCTGAAGGTCTCTGCTTTCTTCACCGTATCTTTTCAAGTACTCATGTTTGCATTTCTGGATGTTAACTGTGACCCCAAAATGTTCTACCTCTTTCTTGGCTGCTGCTTTCCAGAAAATGTAGATCAGCCTTTTCCTTCAATGTTAGCTCTGAACTCATTCCTTTGGGCCATCATTTCTTAATTAACTATAAACTTTTTCAGTAATTATATATGTAGAATGAACTTACAATTCAGAACAGTCCTTCACTTTAAAAAAATTTTCTGCAACACTTGATACACTATAGGATATTAGCCTAATCCAATACATAGAAATAATAAAACATGGAAGAAGAACTTACACTAAAGAAAAAAATAATACTGTTGCAGGAAGACGAGGTCCAATGGAGAGAAAGAACACCCAAATACTATGTTTATAAGAGAAAGGGCTTGATTCACCAGCCGAGAGCTTATGGCATAGAAGAATTCCAAATGGCCACACTCCCCGACTGGCTTCTGGATTGGTCTTTCCCTTTTTATCTGCAGTCAAAAAGTTCCAACCCATAGGTACCTTTTTCATTGGCCAGTTTGAATTAAGTGGGAGACGCTATTCCAGCCCTCACAGAACTCGAAATTTCCAAGTTCCAGGAAGTTAAGTTTACAAATTTCCAAGAGCTGAGTTACCATGGAGAGGACCCTGAAGATGTATCCTTGTAGTCTCCTTGAGCAGACCTGTTCTCCTAGACCTCACCCTTCTCAGGTATCCTCTCTCAATACAACTAAGGGGCAAAGCCCATACTTTCTACCCCTTGATGTATAGTAGACTCAACTGGTCAGTTTATAGAGCATGAATCATAGTAAAACCTCCATAGTTGACTGTTGCAAACCAGTGCGGGAAGGGTGAGCGAACCAGAGTGGAATTGGTGGGGAATGAGAAAAATACAGTATAAGAGAAGACACAGAGGCTCAGCGCCTATAGCTCAACTGGCTAAGGCGCCAGCCACGTACACCTAAGGGTTCAAATCCCCAGCCCAGATCCGCCAAACAACAATGATGGCTGCAACCAAAAAAAATAGCTGGGCGTTGTGGCGGGCGCCTGTGGTCCCAGCTACTTGGGAGGCGGAGGCAGGAGACTCGCTTGAGCCCAGGAGTTGGAGGTTGCTGTGAGCTGTAATGCCATGGCACTCTACCCAGGGGGACAGCTTGAGGCTCTGTCTCAAAAAAAAAAAAAAAAAGAGAAGACACAGAAACAAAAGATAGGATTCGGGAGGTCTGACTGAGCTAATGGCTGAAGCCAGCACCAAAGCACAAAATCTGCTTTATGTTATAGTATCTGTACAGGATTGTCCAGTGAAAGTAGCATAGACAATATGGGGAAATAGCATAAACAAACAACGTATTTTGGGTCTTACAGTATGATACGAAGATGTAAATGACAAATCATCTTATTAATGGTTTCTACTCAACATTGTTAACATATGAGGAGAAGTAAGAAGGGAAAGATCACAAGGATCTCTGCATAGTTAACAAAGCAAAGGAAGAACTATATGACTTAATGGTTCTACTCAACTTCGTTAACATATGACAAGAAGTAAGAAGGGAAAGATCACAAGGATCTCTGCATAGTTAACTAGACAAAGAGCTATGTGACTTCTGGCAGAGGGAGCATGAAGAAAGGAATATGGTTGTTTTGGGAATGGAGGAGAAGAAGTTGGGGGTTCATTCCCTGAATGTTCTCCAGGCTGTGGGGGCCTTGTCACCTCACAGCCCACTCTCCACATTTGACCAACTACTTAAGTTGACCTAATTTTCAGGGATCAGACATGAACCACATGTACTCAAGGGAAGTTCCTTATGTTGACCATCTCTATATGTTGACAAGTTTGTTACAGTCCCTTGGGTGGTATAGCTTCTACTATAATATCGTATAAGTCCAAGTGGTCAAGATACAACTTACAGAGGTAGTCAATGTATAGACTATATATACACACACACACATATACATACATATATATAGTCTTCCATAAGTACCTGTGGTATATGTCTGATCTATGAAAATCAACTTAAGGAGGTGGTCAGTGTAGGGAGGTGGTCAATTATAGAGGTTCTAGTTTGCCTATCTGTGCAGTGTCTGACAGATGTCATTTGAAAATTTAAAATAAACTCTGGTGCTCCAGTGAGTTTGCTATAGTGCCCTAGATGTCTTCGTGCAGTTCAGAGAAATGTAGCTCTAAGTAATACTACTTCACCTTGAAGCACCAGCATTGACATTAATGAGTTTTTTCTTGCAGCTACTGATGATTAACAGTATTTATATTTTCAATGAAAATGTTAACACTATTTAGGTTAAATATATTTTTAGACTACCTAGGAAATGAATTTTTGTGAGAAAAATACAACTCATCTAGAATATAGTTCTGGGATAGGATATATTGGTATTTTATTCCAAACATTAAATGTATTCTCCCCCTGAGCCATATGCTCTTCCCATTTGGGGCAGTGGCAGCTATGGCAGATCTAGAGGCTGGCATATTTTTAGTCTCCTGTCAGATTCAAAAGCAGTTAGCACAGAGAAAGTGTAGGTATGGGCTCGGTACCTGTGGCTCAAGTGGCTAAGGTGCCAGCCACATACACCTGAGCTGGCAGGTTCGAATCTAGCCTGGGCCTGTCTAACAACAATGACAGCTGCAACCAAAAAAATAGCCTGGCATTGTGGCAGGTGCCTGTAGTCCCAGCGACTTGGGAGGTGGAGGGAGGAGAATCGCTTGAGCCCAAGAGCTAGAAGTTGCTGTGAGCTATGATTCCATTGTACTCTAGCCCCTCAAAGCAAGCACAAGAAAGAAAATAATAAAAAGCAGGAATCAATAAGCCTTAAAACATAAAGGTGATAAAGAAAATTAATTTTAAAAGCTATTTCTGTGAAAAGGCCAATAAAATTGATAAACTTTTAGCAGGACTAAAATAAAATAGCCACAGATTACCAACATCAAATGAGACAGGATATCTATACAGAGCCATTAAAGGGATCCTAAAGGATTGCCTTGAACAAGTTGACAAACTCAGCAGCATAGATAAAATGAAGCAATTCTTTGAAAACCACAGGATACCAAAATCTATGCAATATGATCTAATAGTTTTGTAACTATGGAAGAAATTTCATCTATAATTTAAAAGCTTCCAGAAAATACATCCCAAAGGCCAGATGGTTTCACTGGAGAATTCTATGACTCATACCAAGAAGAATCAGTATGGATTTACAGTCTCTTCCAGGAAATAGAAAAGGAAGGAACACTTACAAGCATCTTTTGAGGCAAGTATTACCCAGATAGCAAATCTAGATAAAAAGACTACCATAAAAAGAAGAAAACTACAGAAATTCTCAACAAAGTAGTAGCATATTGAATCCAGCAATTTATAAAAATAATTATATGCCATGACTAAGTGGGGTTTACACTGGGAAGGCAAAGTTGGTTCAATATCTGAATATCTGTCTTAACAACATAAGAAAAACATATTTGTATGAGTATAGAAAAAGCATTTGACAAAATTTAACATCCATGCATGATATAAAAATTTAGCAAATTAGAAATAAAGGAGAAATTTTTTAACTTCATGAAAGAAAAAGAAATCTATGACAAACATCATACTTAGATGAAAGACTGGATGCTTGGGAACAAAGTAGGGGTGTTCACTTGTACCACTTTTATTCAACACAGTATTAAAAATTCTAGCCAACATGATAAGGCAAGAAATGAAAGTAAAAGGCAAATAGGTTGAAAATGAAGAAATATAACTGTCACTACTTACAGATGGACTAGATGCATCTTGTACATATGTGCCAAAGAATCTGCCCCCCAAAAATGCTATCACTGAGTGAAGCAAGGTTGCAGCATAAAGATCAACACACAAAATCAATCATGTGGTAAGTTTACTTGAGAGGCTGAAGCAGGAGCATTGCTTGATAAGGCCACGAGTCACAGGTTGCAGAGAGCTATGATGGCACCATTGCACTATATGCTGGGCAACAGAGCAAGAGCCTGTCTCAAGAAAAAAAGAAGAAAAGAAAATGAGCAAAAGAACCTTTGAGGAGGGACCGTGTTGTAGCCAATGAGGTTTATATGAGTGCCATTATTGCTAATTGAAAACTCTTCCCAACAGCCCACAGTAACAACTTGCAACGTAGTATTGGCAATTTTTGACGGTCTCTATGGCAGTGATTCTCAACTTTGCTAATGCCCCGACCCTTTAATACAGTTCCTCATGTTGTGATGACCCCCAACCATAAAATTATTTTCTTTGCTACTTCATAACTGTAATTTTTCTGCTGTTATGAATCGTAATGTAAATATCTGATATGCAGGATATATTTAGGTGACCCCTGTGAAAAGGTCGTTCAACCCCCAAAGGGGTCATGACCCACAGGTTGTGCTCTATGAGGACTTAGTACTAAAAGAAAAAAAAAATGGGCAAAAGACATGAAAAGGCATTTTACCAATGAAGATATATGGATAGCATATGAGCACATGAAAAGCCATAATTAAATATCACCACATGTCTGTCAGAATGACTAAATTTCAAAATGGTGTTAACACCAAATGCTGGGGAGGATGTGGAGAAACTAGGTCATATGTTGTAGGTGAAATATAAAATTGTACAGCAACTCTAAAAAGCAGTCTGGCAGTTCTTAAAAAACTAAACATGCAAATATGAAATACAGCTGTTGGACTCTTGGGCATTTATCCTAGAGAAATGAAAACTTTGGGTCCTATAAAAACTTGTACACAAGCAGCTTTTGTTGTAATAGCAAAAAACTGGAGGAAAAAAACAGATGTCCTTCAATAAATGAATGTATATTTAAAACTATAGTACATCCATACCAAGGAATAGTAAGAAAAAAAAGAGAGAAACTATTGGAATCTGCAACAACTTGGATTGATACAAGGAAATTATGCTGAATTTAAAAAGCCAATATCAAAAGGCTGCATGCTACATGATATCATGTATAATATATCTCATAATATTCTCAAAATAATAAAACTAAGAGGTAGAGAACTGATTAGTAGTTGCCAAGGAACAGGGACAGGACTGTCCCTGAACCACACATACCCAAATGCATGTAAAATGGTGAAAACTGAGTAAGGTCCGTAGTCTAGTTAACAGTATTGTACGGATGTCAGTCTCCTGGTCTTGGTGTTATGTTACAGTTATGTAAGATGTCACTATCGGAAGAAGCTAAGTTAAGGGTACACGGGGCTTTATGTACTATTTTTGCAAATTCCTATGAGCTTATAATTATTTCAAAAAAATTTTTAAGGTAAATACATATATAACTTTTGTTAAGATATTGCCAAATTTCTCTCGAGGAGGATTGTAGCAGTTTGTGTTCCCATCAGGAACACATGAGATTGCCTCTTTCAGCATAGCTTTCTACTATAACGTGTTGAAATGCTTTTTGGTGTTTGCTAGTCATCTATTATTAATAGATGGCAGGGAGTGTTTTTGCATTTTAATTTACATTTCTCTCATTATGAATGAGGTCGAACATTTTCTGTTCAGGTATGTGAGGGCTATTTTTACACCTTTTATGAGAATTGTCTCTTCTTTTCCCCCTTTTTGTATTGGGTTTTGGTTCTTTGTTCTTAGGCTTTGGGAGTTCTTAATATATTATAGGTATTAGACCTTTGTCTGTAGCATATATTACAATTTTTTCCCCGATTTGTTAGTTGTCTTTTGACTTTCTGGTGTTTTTTTCCATGTGTAAACTTTCATTTTCAGATAATCTAAGATCTCAATCTTTTTTTAATTGCCTCAGTTTTGAAACAAGATTATGTTTTATTGGCTGTGAGTCATAATTTCCCAACACCAGCGTTTTAGGGAAGCTTACCCACACTTTCTTCTTCTGCTTATAGGATTTCATTTTTACAGTTAGGTTTCTAATATATTTAGAGTTTATTCTTATGTATGTTGTGTGGTATGGATCCAGTTTTATATTTTCCAAATGGTTATCCAGATTTCCAGGCAATATTTATTTAAAAGTCCATCTTTATCTCCGCTGATTTCAGATGCAACCTTTATTATAAGCTAAATTTCATGTAGGCTTGTATTTTATTCAATGGAATGTTTGTCTGTTCTACCCTGGTACCACATTGTTTATATAGTAATACCATGTTTTGTTTTGTTTTTTGCAGTTTTTGGCCGGGGCTGGGTTTGAAGTCGCCACCTCTGGTATATGGGGCCAGCACCCTACTCCTTTGAGCCACAGGCACTGCCCCAGTAATACCATGTTTTAATATTTAGTAGGGATAATCCTTTTTCACAGTTTTTCCTTTTCACTGTTTTCCTGGCTCTTCTTGCATGTATACCTCTCCATATATTTAGTATCAAATTCCTAACTCCATATAGTAGCTTTTTGGTATTTTTATATTAATTGCATTAAATTTATGAATTAATTTAGTAAGAATGGCATCTTCATAATGTTGTGTAATCCTATTCAAGAACAGGAAATGTCTTTCTGTTTGTTCAAGTTTACTTTCATGCCTTCCAGGAGTGTTTCATAATTTTCCTTGTATAAGTATGTAATATTTTTGGTGTTATTATAAATGAGGTTTTATGTACCATTGTGTACTGTTTTTTGTTTGTATAAAGGCTATTGATTTTTGTTTGTAAACTTTATATTCTACTACTTTACTTTTAAGTCTTTATTATTTGATTTAGTTTGATCTTCAAATCTCTAAGATTTCTTAGGTATGCTATCTACAAATAGGATAATTTTATTTCTTCTTTGCCATTATGCCTCCTAGTGTTCCTATCTAATTGCATTTGGCTCATATTTCTAGTACAATGTTGAATAATAATTGATATATTATTATCAATAATAGAATTGATATAATTCTAAGAATTCTGGGCTAGAAATTGTTTTAAGAATATTGAAAGTGGATAACCATGCTCTTCTGGCTTGGAAGGTTTCAGTTGAAAAGTCTGCTGTCATCCTAATGGCTCTGCCTCTGTAGGTCAGTTGGCACTTACTCTTGGCTGCTTGTAGAACATTTTCTTTCATCTTGACTTTGGACAGGTTCATTACAATGTGTCTTAGAGAGGCTCTGTTTGATTTGAGATGACCCAGGGTTCGATAACCATCTGAAAGGAGTGTGTCAGGGTCTTTAGTAAAACTTGGAAAGTTTTCATTTATGATAGTCTCCATTCATGGTGTGTTCTCCAATGGAAGTAGGGCTTTCCTTTCGGACAATCTTCTTCCCCTTCAGGAATCCCTATTATTCATATGTTTGAAAGCTTCATGGAGTCTTGTAGTTCTCTAACCGCCTATTCTGCTTTCCCTTTCTTCTTTTCTGCCTCTTTAACTACCTGTGTTAACTTGAAAATTTTATCCCCTTGCTCTGAGGTTCTTTCTTCTCCATGGTCTAACCTATTTTTTGACACTTTCCACTTCATTTTGCATTCCCTGATTGTCTCCTTCATTTTCTTAAGCTCCGCCATTCCTTTCTATATTCTACATATCTCTTGTCTGACTTAATGGTTCTGTCCATCCATATTCTTGTCCATTCCTTTTATCATCTATATCCATATTTTAAATTCCCTTTCTGTCAAGTCCATTAATTCTTTATAAGTGGAGTCCTCTGCAGTAGCTTCCTCATGGTCCCGTGGGGGAGTTCCTCTGTTTTGGTTTTTCATATTGCCCCAATTTTTCTGTTGGTTCCTCTTCATGTGTTCTTTCTTCTTGTTCACCTCCTTGTCCTCCTTTGTTTCAAACAAAAGTCCTTGCTGTTGATGACACTATGTTGCAGTATGTCAGCGGGACACCAGGCGGTGCTGTAGTTTTTGTTTTTTTAGGAAACAGAGAGCACAGCCAGCAACTTCCATGGTCCTTGTTCCAAACTTAGTTGCCTTCAGTGATCACCTGATTGTTTCCTCAGCATTCAGACCCTGGATTGGAATCTTAAAGCTCTCCAGAATCCTTCAGGGGCAGGTCCCATAGTGCCCAATGACTCCAGTTCCTGCAGGGGTGTGGAAATCCCTCAGCCTGTCCCAATAGTGGAGTTCTGATCCCAGAAGGCGTAATTAAGATGGCCATGCTTTAAGCCCCTGCTAAGACCTTCTCATGACCTTCCCACACAATGGCAGCCCCCTAGCCTCTGACACCTTCTCAGTATGGCTGCCTTGCCAGTCACCAAAGCTATGGCAAATCCACTCCAACTGGCTTTTGAATCTGATTGCTGTATACTGTTCAAGTGCACCCACTCCTCCAGGCTTTCCACTCACTGCGCAGCTTCCCCCAACTACTGAAAACTCTGGAAAGGCTTCATCCTGTCCCGGACCTCTGTGGGGGGGCAGCCAATCTTGCAACTCCTTTTATGATCATTTGCCTAATTCATCAGATTGCCACCACTAGGGATCATATGCTGTATCCAGCTCCTCACCTCCTTGCTGTGCTCCCTGAGCTATGACTCTGGGTAAGGTCCCCACACCAGGTAATGCTGGGTTCTCTCTTTTTCCCCAGTTATTCTAGGAGAGCTCAGCAGAACGATCCTTCTGGCCCGCCATCTTGATCCGATCTAAATTTGTTATTTTTGAATATGAGTTCCTTCATAGAACCAGTACAGCACCGACAGCTTGATATATCAATGAAGTATTTGGGAAAGATGTGGCTAATGAATGCACAGTACTTTGATGGTTTAAGAAGTTCTGTTCTGGACATATTGAAAATGAGTCATGTGGGTGACCTGAGACCAAGGTTGATAATGATAAGCTGAAAGCTGTAGTGGAATTGAATTCATCTCAACCTGAGTGTGAATTAGCAGCATGGTTTGATGTTGCTATTCCAACAATATTGGGCCATTTCCAATAGATCAATGAGTAAAGAAGCTGGATGGATAGATTCTACATGAAATAAGTGAGCATCAGAAGAGAAATTGTCTTGAAGTTTGCCTTTCTTTGCTGTCACAACATGAGGACAAACCATTTCTACACCATATTGTTATGTGTGATGAAAAATGGATTATGTTTGACAATTGCAAGCATTTGATACAATGCTTTGCTGAAGATGAAGTGTCAAAACACAGATATTCCAAAACCAAATATTCATCAGTAAAAGCTACAGGTGTCTTGTTTGATGATCCAGCACTGATATTATCCACTATTGCTTCATGAAACCTGGCCAATCAATTATAGCAGATGTCTACTGAAACTAAATGGATGACAT